TGGTTTGGGGTTTTTCCCGGGTATGGAATTTTGTGGTTTTTTCCCCTTTTTTTTTTTTTTTCCCTGGGTGCGCCCGTTTCCTCGACGGGTATCTCCCTCGCGCGGCCGCACGTTGTTAAGAGCCCTTTCCGAACGGGCGGCCGTCGGAAGCGTCACAGTTTTATTAGTGCCGTAAAAACTCGCCACGAATGAAATTACTTTCGATAGGCGCTCGTTTCGACAAGGAGAATTGGTCAGGGGCTGTTGGCAAGTTGAAGGAATTTGGGTTTGCAGCCGAAACTGGCAGGAAGTCGGCAGCCCGAGCGCTTTCCTTCCCCCCCCTCCCCTCTTCTTCTTGAGGCCAGTAAAAGTGTTTCATTTCAGTAAAGCGTTCAAGGATTCCTAACGCCAATCCAATATTAAGCAGACCTGTACGTTTCTACAGTCCGAAAAACCATGAACGAATGGCAAGGGGAAACAAGTGTCTCTGGAGGTTTTATTCTGTGCCAGTAGGCGAATCCCTCTTCACAGGGGTCAAGAAAAACTACCGATTATGTTGGCGTCGTTTTCGCAACGTGCGAGTTGTGCACTCCGCTACGGGCTTTGATACGCTTTGCGCGTATGGAGAAAAGGAAGATTTTTTTAGAGCAAAACCAAAGAAGCATGTGTCCCTCTGTACTTGCCTAAATAACATCCATGCTATCTATTTCAGCACAGGAAATACAGAGATGAATTACAAACATTAATCGTTTTATGTAAATATATTAACATGCCATTTGGGGGGGGGACGGCGGGCTCTTAGCGCAACACATTATGGTTAGTGTAAAGATTTGTATTTGTTAGACATCTCCAGTAATATTGGACGCAATACTTGTCTTCTACAAGCGGCGCTGTAGAAATACTGGCACCTGAACACGGGACGTTTATCGACTAGCTCTAAAGAAACGGGAAAGGTAAAATTGCGAGACGCTGGTGCTGAGTGGTTTAATAAAAGACCAAGAGTGACATTTTGGGGACCAGAAATAAATCAGCTGTCTAGGTTTTCCTCCCATCATTTTAACAGGTTTTCTGTTCAGTGGGCTTTTCTGTCAATAGAAAATAAGCGTTTTCTTTCTCTCTTTTTTTTTTTTTTTGCCTTTAAATATATATATAAATATTTTTATATTTATATGTTGTACAGAGAAGCAAGGCTGACAGTTGTGAAAACACTGGAAGAGTTTGACTTTGGCCATGCTGAAAAATGTGTGAGGATAAATTCTGTGTCCAGCGGTTTGGCAGAGCAAGACCTAGAGGTGCTTTTGCAGTCCAGGACCCTTCCTTCAAGCATGATGCTGCCAAAGGTTGAAAATGTTGAAGAAATAAGATGGGTGAGTAGTAGCTGCCTGTTTACCAACGTAATATCTTTTGACTGAAGCTCTTGGGCCAAGTTAGGACAGGCATAGCGATGAATGACTCTGAGTTATGAAGAAGGTTGCAAATACAATATAATGCTGGCCTTTGGCTGAGGCGATGGGGAAATGCATCCGTTTAAGCGTGCCTAAGATGTGCTATACGAAAAGCATATGTGGAGCACCTTGCATTTATAAAGAAAACGAGCTTTATTTCTCGTGCGGTCAGTAAAGAAGCCACATCGATGGCACAGCATATTAAGAAAAACAGAAGCAACGTGTAAGTGTCCGACTATTTTCCAAATACTCTGACATGCAAAATGATTGTCCATGCACGTGTGTTTTAGTTACATGCATTGTAAGCAGTAGATGGGGAAAACATGTTAGCAACATGTGAAAAAAATGGGTTGGGGGGAAGGTCACTCCTTGGGGCAACTGGAGGAACAAACAGGAAGCTTTTAACTAGTGTTTTTAATTAGCACAGATATTATTTCCTGAACAGTTCTCTATTTCTTCCTTTTTAATTGCTGACAGGTGTGTTTGTGTTTCATGACTGACTTTTCAGCCAATAAAAACCTGAAATGTAAATGGTTGGCATGTCAAATTACTTAAGAAAACTTTGAAATAGGCCTAGTTCTGCTGTAATTGTGCTAATTGTCAAGAAGGAGGACATTTGTGTAGAGAGTCCGTTATTTCTGCAAAAAGCCAGTAAAAGATTAACGTGGAATTATTCAGGTCTGTATTTTTGAAAACCACTGGTCGAGCGCCTCCAACGTGTGCCAGCTGCGATGAAAGGCAGCGAGGTGTATTAGTATCTGTTTTCATCTCAGCGGCTAACCTTGATCAAGCCTTTAAGATCAGGCGTGAGAGTACCAGCGAGCAAATACGGTAGTTGTGTTGCCAGGCTGGTCCGTGCCGCGGCAGCGCACCTTCAGCCTCCGCTGCTTGCAGCGGAAGGTAACGTCCCCTTACACCAACGTTTAATTCAATTAACTAGGGTATACCTCGCAGGGTTTGCAGCCGTGTACGTGTTAGACGCAACTTGCCGTTAATGAATATTCGCAGGCAGGGCCCTCGCTCCCACAAAGCGTGTTTTGCACCGAGGCGCAACCCGCAGGCTCTCTGCGCCTTCCTCCCCTTCCACCTTTCCTCGTGGCTAACTTTTTATTTCCCGCGCCGTGCCGCTAGAAAATAAGGCAGCTCTAACTTCGGTCTCGCCGGCCCTCTCTGGGCCCTCTCCCGCTCTGTTAAACCTTTGAAGGCGAAGCGCGTGCTCGCTTTGTTGACGCGGGGGTTGTTGGAGAAAAATAAATAATTAAAAAAAAAACCCAAGTAGCTCTGCCAGCGCGCCGACTCGCTGTTCCGACTTCGTCGCGCAACGCAAGCCGTTTCTTTTCCCCTCCCTCCTTTTCATCCGCGCGCGGCTGCAAACCTGGCGGCTGATGCGCCGCGAAAAGATGGGCTTACTTGTTCCCTTTTGTGTGAGAATCTCTTGCTCTCCTTTTGTCCCTGGCGCGGGGCCTTGTTTGACTGGCATGGCTTATTGGACTGTAACAAGCGTAACTCGCGCTCCTTTGTGGCGGGGCAATTCTCCCACAAATCCCGACCAGTGGCCATTCTTCCCCACACACTATTGGGTGTGCACGGGAATTGAAAGAATCGCTGAGGCCTGCTACTTCGTCCCCTCCCCGAGCTTTGTTTTATTCCCTCCGCCTTCCGTTTTGGGTTGTTTTTTTTTTTTTTGGCTTTTTTTTTATTTTTTGGCCCCCTTCTCCCTGAAATGAACACTTTACCAGGCCGGAAACATTTAATCGTCTCCTTTTGAAAAAAAAAAAAAAATGAATTGAAACTTTTCCACTCGTTACCTTTTGTACGGGCGCTTAGCGCAAAATTTTTAAAAGGGAGAGGAAGGGAGACAATATTTAATTGCATGTTCTTTTTTGTTGTTGTTTACCTTCGACACAAAAGATACTAAAAAACTCAGGAGCGTGACTTTTTAAATATTTTAAAATACGAGAAGAGCTGGGCTGTTTAAACTTACACCCAAAGTATAAACACGGTAGCACTTTCTACTTTTTTTCCGGCTAAGAAGTAAAAATCATCCTAAGAACAAAAGCTGATAGGATTTTACTACCTCACATTCTGCATTTGCCTGTGTGAAGTTTACTATTTGCTGGTTTTGCTGTACCTGCCACAGTGCACAGTTGCACATGTGAAATGCACTGATTTTCCTTGCACATTTTTGGGTGGGATTCTCTTCCCCAAGGAAAAGTTCCAGAGAGGACCATGGCGGTGATGCAAAGCAGGGATGCGAAGGGCACAATTCTGCGTCGCAGAAAGCTGTGATTTATTTTGGCCTAATTGTAAAGTTACTGCAAATTGCTCGAAAGCTTTTTAAAGATCGCAGTGATTAGATTTTCCTTCTTTTGGGGAGGGGCAGTGGGGGAAGCTAAAAGGGGAAATAACACCTCTAATCCAGCTTCTGGTAAATAGGCTGCCAGCTTTTAAAATGAGTTTCCTTTCTATTAGTCAGAATATTATGCTAAGCCTTAAGCATTAGTTTTTTATGTTGCCATAGCAGCCTTATTCCTGCAGGGTTGTGACCTGCGATGATTACAGTACAAAGCTTATAGGGTCTTGAAACCCCCTTTGAAGATGAAAAGTCTTTGATGGTTTATATTTATGCAAATCTCTTAGATATGATTTACCCAACTGAGACTGAATGGAGAGATGATTAAAATTCCCTTTCCTTTGATATCCATTAATAGTTGAATATTTCTTAAATTCAAAATATATGCATATGTTATTTTTGTCTTTATTTACTAAAAAATTTGTGCCGTACCTGTGGTATGTTTATCTCCTCACAAATTACTAGATCTGGACAGACATAATAGATTTACAATACAGCGCTGAGGGTTTTTTTTTTTCCCCCCCTCCCCCCCCCCCCCCCCTTTTTGAAAGGGGAAAAATCTGTGCGAGAGCTTTTGTATGTTTCCAGATGATAGATTTTGGAATTTGGGCTACCCCACTGGCAGCTCAGAGCTAGCTGTGAACTGGTCTCATGGAAAAAATTGGAAAGCTTTGGTCTTCAAAGAATTAAACTTCCTTTTTAAGGCCTTCCTAGGTAAGCTAAAAATTACGAAGAAAAGCCTCCCGAACAAAGGGTGACGGTGCCGTAATGAATAACACGGAGGGCACTTAGAAGGCTGGGGAGCACTTCCAGTGATGTCAGGGCCAGACCTGAAACAAAACAGGGCGCCAGGTACAGCACCGCTCCGTTGTTTTTAGGGGCCTGCTCATTTGCATTGAACTCCGTTAGGGTGCTAGGTGTTAAGCGTTTTTTTTTTGTTGTTTTTTTTTTTTGCAAATTAAACTTAAAAATATTCACTAATGTTGCAACGTAGGCCTCCAAACAGACCTCGCTGAAAGCAGGTTTTGTTTTGTTAAGTTTGGAGGGGGGGGGCAGATGTAGCCAGGTGAAAGATGTAAAGCGTTTGCCTGTACACGTGGACTTTTGTAAATTATTTTTTCCTCCGATAGCTCATGCCGTCTGGTTTTAGTTTGCAGACAAATTCTCACATCACTTACAAGGCCGAACACTTGTAGAACCAATGAATTTTATCCCTTTTGTGGAAACTGCACGGGGGCTGCTCAGTTTTAAGGTAAGCAGGTCTTAAACGTGGTTGAAGTGCTCATATTTTATCATCTCAGCAATCTAGGAGAAGTAGTCCAGAGTCTCTCAGCAATTTCTTTAAGGAAGAGAGGTTAAAAAACGAATAATAAACAAATTCATTTCCATCCCCTGAAACATTTGGATGCTTAATTCTCCTGTTTATACTGTAAAGGGCCTTCAGAAATCCAAAACAGTTCAGTGAAAGGACAGCTCCAGTCAGTGCGTGCCAAGTGACAAAACCTCTCTGCGTTATTGTTGTGATTTTTAACTTCCTTACGGTACAAACACGCTTACAACATGCTTTGGAAAACTCACATCGCTGCAGTAAGCTTGACTATTTTGTAACTATCAACCTTGATTTTGGATAACCGTTTCATTAGGAAAAAAAAAGGATCATTTCACTATTCTTGAACTGGTGTCTTTATAATGGTTTCTGCTGATAACGTTGCAATCCCATTTCAGTCACGTTATGGCTTTTCGTAAGGGTGTATGATGAGGGGTTTCATCCTAAGATTCGATGTACAATTGACCTTTGAAAATATCGGCAATCTAAAGAGCGTGCTTCTTTTCTAGCGTGATTTCAGTCGCAATCTTATTTTATACTGCTTTTTAACATAAACAGCCCCCCGTCTTCAGTATCAAGCCAGTTTTTTCACAAAGGAAAGGCAGGCTGCTAAGGAAACGGAAGGTCTGGTGCGTTCCCCAGGAATTCAGCGTTCCTCCCCAAAGCTTGCAGGGAAAAGTTGCAGACCAGCTGAGGACGTACTGCATGTTAGCAGTGCCTCCAGAGCTACCGGCCGGCCTCCTAGGCAGCCTGCTCAGCAGAGCCATTCATCGTACAACACACTTCACTACTTCTGGGACCATAATATAGCATTACCAAATAAACATGCTCCTGCTCGGCGAGCATATACAGAATTAAATTCTATTTTAAAGTGAGCCTTTCTTTTTTTTTTTTTTTCCCCCTCAAGGATTTTTTTTTCAGGATTTTAAAAGTGCAATTTTTAATAGTGTAGTTCTTGATGTTGGCAGGAGAGTTGCCTTTTAAAGCGTTCTGTTTAAGAATAATTCCTTATCCCGCCAGCTGCCACGTAAGAACACCCACTAGTAGAGTTTGCAATTGCCTCTGTCTCTCCCTGCATCCTTAAGTACCCTTAAAAATAGTAATGCTATTCAAATATTGGTATAAAATAGTCATATTTTGGAAATGTACTTCTTCTTATAATAACAGCAGCAGCAAAAATCTGCTTGCCTTTATTTCAATACTTTTCCGCAGTACTTGTTGCATTTGTCACTTCCTCAGCTACTTTTTAGCTATATGTAACAAAATACTTTAAACTGACCATCTATCCAATAAGGAGTCCTCAACCATTTAAAACCATTCAAATTATTTATCTAATAAAAGGTATTCTGCCTTTTTTTTTTCCTTTTTTGTGGGCGATGCTATTAAATGTTACACTAATCAAATTTAATACTTCTTGTTTGCTTTTAGGCAGTATTTGACAAGCGTTTAGTTTCGTACTGCTACATAAATAGCCAAAGTACCAATCACAGCAATACCCAGGGCACTATGATAAACTTCTGCTCTAAGGTAGGGAATCTCATACGGTGTCCTGTGGCTACACAACGTAAGCTTATATGTACTTAGGCAAACATAATTTCTCTTTCGCTGAGTCATTTTAAAGCACTGTACACTGCAGAGCGTCTGCAGTGGCTTTGCTTAGTAGAAGCGATTTTAGCCGAAGGATTTCTAAATTTTGGTAATAACGAGTTGAGGTAATATCCTCTTTGTCTCGGTGCTTCCTGCTTCTCTGCAGAAATTAATAGTGTGTTCTCGTTTGAAGGCTGTCTGCGAAGAAGCATTGAGAGCAGGCTCCCAAGTTGGCTTTCATTTGGACGCAGTCGTCTTTGGAGGCGAGGATTTCCGTGCCAGCATAGGTTGTTACCTGCCTGTTTACTGTAAATGTTCGTGTAGGACATTTGCATTGCAAAAGCCTCGTGTGATTTAGCCACCTTTTCTGACAGACGTTTGATGCCACATTTTATATTGTTTTTACTTTTCTCCATAATTGCTTTCAATGTAGAACGTATTACTGGCATATTAAATCGTGTGTGATGTTAAATTGTGGTCCCTGTACGCAACAGGGCACTGATGCTTTCTTGCTCTGCAGTAGCAAAGATTAACGAAAACAAAGCAAACCTGTTGAGTCACTGAAATTGTTTAAAAATATAATATCCATAAGAAACACGCACATACTTTTAAGAACTACATTTAAAGTCCTAAAATCCTGCTGTGTCTTTTACCATTGTTTTACCGTTGATTATAATTCAGAATTTTGACTTCATACTCAAATACTCTCCTGTTATGTTTTGCTTTAATAAATTTACTCTAAACATATCCTATGTCAATATAGTCATCTCTACCGTGGATTTATGTTAAAGCACTATTACTCTTCCTGAGAAATGAAAAGTATTTCAAAATATGTTTTATAAAAGTCCGTTAGTTTATTAATCTGATTCAGTTTAAAGAGCATAGTTCACATTGTTTAAAGATCACAGTTATACACTGACAGTGTTAATTAAATATAAATATATTAATGTAAAAATTAACATCGATTTATGAAATTATTCCTTACAAATTGGAAATCCGTGCCTAATAGTTATTTTTTCACGCACGGGCGAATGTTGCTTAGCTGGTGTAGCGTGAGCACGTGAAGTCTTGTGAATACTTCTGGTTCTTCTCGTTAGTCGTCTACCATCATTTTTCATCCAAATGCTGGAGCGTAAATATTCAGCTTAGGACATCAGTTGTGACAAAAATCACAACCAAGGACAGTGCAATTCTATTCTCTGTGTGAATTTTTTAACCATTTAGTTGTACCCAATATGCCAGTTTGTCTAAAGCTTCACTTGCTGTAATGCTTTTCAGTGCACATACAGTAAATAATACAATGAATTACTTTATGTTTGTCCCAACTCGACCATCCTTACCAGGCAAAACTTCTACTGACTTCAGGCTTACAGCTTCTGATTTGAACCAAATCAAAGCCAGAATTTTATAAGCTTATGCATAAAGAGAGGGGTTTATTGCTAAAGAGGCTTATTCGTTGCTTGGAAGAGCACTATTTTGACAACGTAGCCTTGCATCCCTCTTTTATTTTCTCAATTGGTTAAATGAAATCTGAAACGTCTTTTTAATAAGCAGTGTTTAAAATAAAAAGGTATAAAGCAGTGTTGTCATCTTTTCTTTGTTTTCATTGCTTTCGTAGGTGCAACAAGCAGTAAGGAAACTCATGATATTCTGTATGCCAGGCAAAAAATTATAGTTACAGCCAAGGCTTTTGGCCTGCAAGCTATAGACCTTGTTTACATCGATTTCCGGGATGAAGATGGGCTCCGCAAGCAATCAAGAGAAGGTGCCTCAATGGGATTCACTGGTATGGGTTTCTGCCAATGTCTCAAAACACTGCACATCTGCAATTTAAATACGTTGCTGCATTTACTGTTACTTAGACAAATAACTTGATTGTTTTATTTCAGGTCATTTATTGAAAAGCTAAGTAGTGCCACTCACATCTACATTTATTAACACCTTTAAAACTGAGGCTGGAAATTTTGCCTGCAAAATCACAGGCTGCTTTTTAAAATCACACCCCATCAAGCGTATGACCGTTTTTCAAAGAGAAGTTTGGGTAGAGGATGGCCAGTATGTGCTTCCTCCGATCGCAGAGCATGGGAAATGTGATATTGTATTTTGCAACGATCAGTCCACAAGTGCTTTTAAAAATATTTTGATTCCTGTTTCATATTTTTAAATGACAGCTGTTAAAAAGTACTTTTTAGGTGAAGGAGCTGATAAACAAATCTTGTATGCTAATTGCTATGGGAAAGTTATTTTCTTATTATTTTCTTTGATTTGTTTTTCATCTCCTGGCTCCCCTCCCAGTAAGTGCTGGTGACACCTACGGGTATTGGCAGACAGCAAGACCAGCAGGCTCCTTGCAACAGAGTCCTGTAATGCAGACTGTTACCCTGTGATTGGTGTACCAGATCACTCAGACACCCTGATGAGATAGTGCAGCCACCAAAGATTGTGTTTTTGCAATAGAAATCAGCCATTTGACACACGCATTATAGAATACTAGGATATAGCACTAACATTTTAAATTATTTGTCTCTGACCGTCATTCAAGGTATATTTAAGGCAAGGGTATATTTCTTAGGATTTTATTATCCAAGGAGTGGATTTTATTATCCCGATGATGTGATCTAGCAAGGTGTATTTTTACAGTTTATGGCATATAATATCTGAAAGCAGTAAGCACAGTAATCCAGCGAAATAAGCATTCTTTTAAGCGCTCTAGGCATTACAGTGAAAGATTAGCAACGGATTCTCTGCCGCTCAAACTCTGCCTTATTGTCTGTCGAACTTCAGCGTTTGCAAAACCGATCTTGTTTCAGAGGCAAAAACGTTAGCTTCTCACAGCTGTTGAACATTATCTACGTCCACGTGGATTTCCACCCTCGATTCTCCTGCTATTGAAGTCGGGAAAATAATAGAGCTCCTGAATGGTAGCACCTGCTGATGGCTACGTAACCTAGACCAATATTTTCTAGCTGAAGGAAAGGCTTGATTTTTGAAAAACTTAAGCATCTGAACCTCCTGTTGACAGAAGATGGAGTTGCAGATGCTGAGCACCTTTGAGAGCGCTCTTTTTGAATGCTTAATGTGTATTTAAATAGTGGATTCGGGCTGCCAATTTAGAAAATTTAGAAAACGCTAAGCCTAAGCAACATTGGTGGTATTTTGGACTCCACGGAATATATATAGCAAGCTATCTGACATCAGGATAGGGCCCAGATAGATGAAAAATAAAATGCTCCTATCTGGCAGTTTAGGGCATAAAGTTAATTTCTAACTAAGTCAGGCATAACGGTGCCTGGCTTTTCTGTATGAGGAGTAAGGATCTGTAAAAGGTACAGACTTCATTAACGTGAACTCACAGCTCCTGCTCTTTGCCTTCTGCCTTTCCACAGCTATAATCAACACATTTCAAAAATGCAGCAAACAGCCTGACAACCAGTCCAATCGTAATTAGAGATGGGTCAATACTGCGTTTTCTGATTTGGTGGCCAAAAGAAAAAAAAAAAGTCATTAAAAAAATCTGTTCGAGTCAAAACAAAACAGATTTTTTTCATACTTTTGGTAAAAAGAAAAAAAATATTTGAGGTCGATCCAAAACGTTTCATTTGTTCGTTTCTTTTGCTTTCAGTTTATTTAATATTTTTATAATCTTCTTTGCTTGTTTTGATTAAAATAAAATATTTCAAAATTACAAATTTTGTTCCAAAACTATATAAATGAAACACTTCAGCATTTCCATTTTAATATTCGTCACGGAAAATTACAAATGGGTTTTAACTTAATCCATGACCTTCTATAAAGCAGAAATCTGCAGATCATATTTGCCACTGGCAACTGACAACTGTCTGATAATGTGATAATAAAATACTGAAATGTTGCCTTAACAAGAAGTTCCAAACATATGATTCTTGTTATTTTAAAATATTTAAGATCACATCCTGCTACTTTTTCACATATAATCAGAATCCTTGAAATCCACGGGACCAAAATGAGTTAAGGCTTTCAGATTGGTCGGTTAACTGGCAAACTGCACACTTCGTTGCCTGCATAGGGCCAAATTTACCACCCTCAAAACTGAGGCAAATTCACAATACTCAGCAAAGTTATATGTCATTATATGTCATTAGAGTTTTCCTGTATTTAGATTTAGACCAGTGGAATTGGACTTAATGTAATCAAATTTGTTTCCTGGAGATTAAAAAAAAAACAAAGAATTCACCATCTCCTTAATCACTCTTATGCCCCTCATTGCTTATTGTAGCCAAGGCTTTTTTTTGAGCTATCTTATAAACAGCCTACTGTTTCCTCAGTGCGCACGCTTTCATATAGCAGAATGTTTTCCGATGTAACTTAGCCAAGGCAATATACCTTGTTGATTTATATATTAATATAAATATACATATATGTATACACACACACACACACACCCCCCCGCACGTACATACACATGGCAAGACGTTTTACAGTACTCTAACCTGTGGACTGGAAGTCAGTGTGTTGTCTGTATAAATGGTCATCAGTTTTAGGAGTGTTTGTATAAAAATTAAGTAAACCTTGGAATAAGCTTTAACAGCCGACTTAGTCATTATTAGAAAGTCCTGAGCTACATGCTGAGAAGGCAGATATAAATATGAAAGACTATAGGCTTCCTCTCTTTTTGCAGTTTTTTGCAGAAACCTAAAATGACACCATCATGCAGTTACCTAAAAGACCTGACAGGTATTGATTTAAAAGCACGATATATATCAAGTGGTACTGTAAAAAGGATTTCATGGTCATAAATTTTAACGTCTTCCAATTTTGCACTCTCTCAGTAACTTGTCAATAACAACAATTCCGTTTAAAATATTTGCTTCGTTCCTGCATGGCATTACGTCTGTTATACAGTTATTTGGATACATAATCTGTGACAAAAATCAACTGAGTGCTATAAATCAAACGTTAGATTGCTTTCTGTAAGCTGGTCACTAATATTTTAATGACACGAAGTGTAGTTTGTTAACTATAGACATCTTTATTGAAAGAAGACCTTCTTACAGAACTGTTTTACACTTGAGAAAATCCTAATAAAATAAATGTAATCCAAATAAAATCATAATAAAATAATTATTTTTAATTTTGTTATAGAGGGAGTTTCGGTATAATTTCAAATATACTCTACATTTTTCCAAGAAAATTAAGCTTTCTAGGATTTTGCAGGATTTAGTTCTATATTCTTCAATTTTAGAATTAGTAGCTTAGTTAACTAGGAAGAGCATGTCATTAAAAATAAGGACTGTCATAGTCTTATTAATGGTAGCACTTGATTAAATTGTCTAAAATACCTTTGACTAGAACTAATGCACAGCATATTGATTAAATAAATTTGTCTCCATATAATTTCATGCAAAAAAAATGTAGTTCCTAATGAGTTTAAAACTTTTTACCATCTTTTTAAAGGTTTTTTTAATATTTACCTAAAAGAAACGTCAAACTGAATATTTGGGTGGCCTAAAGGTCATAAGCAAAAGATTGTTTAATGGGGAGTAAAATCAAATTGAACACTATATGGCTTTTTATTGAAGATATGTAATAACACTTAACAGCAACTGTGTCTTTGATTACTAAAAATTACTAGATGGTGCTAACGCACTCACAAATTTCGTCTGTACCCCACATTATCACTGAGACCCAGTTCAGTTTGAGAAAAGTTATCCGGGGACTGGCAATGTGTTCTGTAGTCGTTATTTCATTTAAAATAGCTGTGTCTCTGGGGTGGCGCCTGAGCCCTGTTCTAGGAAGCGATGTGCTTATTTCTAACACATCACTCGCCTAATTCCAGTACGAACATCTGAGAAGATCCTCTCCGGCTTCAGAAACCTCGAGCAGAAGCCAACGAGCTTCTGACACTTCCAACTTTCGCTTGCGAGCGCGTTAGGTGCAAAAATTGCACCGCTCGATGAAATTTGCCTCTTTATAAAAAACCAGCAGGAGCGTAAATCCCTCTGCCATGGATGCGGAGCCCCACTGGGTCACTGGGACGCGCGTGAGGGTAGGAGGGCGGAAGAGGAAGGCGCGCCGGCCTTTCGTGGCTCATCCTGGCGCTGGATTGGGGCCGTCAGAGGTCCTCGGTGCCTCCTAGCAGGCTGCCCGATTCGCCCTCACTTGTGCGCGAGGGGGCACGGGTCAATGGGACTGCGCGAGTGAGTAACGCGGGGCCGTCGGTGCCCTCGAGGCTGTTCATTCGCTCAAAGGTTTGCAGGATCAGGCTCGTCGCTGCAGCTAGCTTTGCTGCGTGGTATAAGGCAAACGAACTTGTGCTGTGTTGAGGTTCTGAAAAGCGGGGAAGGAGGGTATCCTCTCTGTGTTAAAAGACGTTTAAAGCAACGTACAGATAGTCGGGCAGAAATCACACCACTCTCTTCAATTCCCTTAGAAATGAACTAATAAAGTCAAATGCTACACTGGCAAACAAATTAGGTATGTACTCTTCTTAACACAGCTAGGTACAGTAACAGATGAAAATGTATTATGTGGCTGTTTATTCACATGTGAAAAATCTCTAGTTAAAAAGGCAACATCTGTTTTTATTTTCTTACTGCAGATTTGTACAAGAAAGCATTCAGAAGTGCTTAATAAAACTTCAGGATACCTCTGATAATTGTTTAATATACCCGTTACTAAATAAATACTGCAACATACCTGCAACAGCTAACTATCACAAGAATAAAAATGTAAATAGCAATGAGTATTTGATGATGCTAAGCTAATACTGAGAATGCAGGGAATGACCCTTATGCTACTGCTAACTTTTCAGTTGTACAAATCTCTTGCGATGTTCTTCAGATCTCATTTTCTGAGCACACTTTATTACAACTCATTTATGAATGGCTGGAGCCACTATTTCTATAGCTGAAATTCAGAGATGCGTTCTGCTTAATTTTTATTGACTGCACTGGTCAAACAATTACACCTGAAACGACAGAAAAACGATGTGTGGATTGAAATGGGAAGGGAGGGGGAAGAAGTGTGGGTTCTTTCCGATGGTACTGCGGGCCGCCACTGCTCCGGACACTGTTGTTCTTAAAAAAATCTGGCAAAAGGCTGCCTGCACGTTGTCCGGTTTAAAAAAAAAAAGAAAAGAAACCAAGTAAAATAATCAGTTAAATAGCAGAAAGTCTATGAGGCATATGAGAGCCTCAAGTGGTTGGAACATTTTGTTTGAACATCTGTTTGTCGATGCTTGATTCTGGTGTTATTAATCTTCTTTGTAGGTAAGCAGGTGATTCACCCTAACCAAATTGCTGTTGTCCAGGAACAGTTCTCTCCAAGCCCTGAAAAAATAAAGTGGGCGCAAGAACTGATTTCTGCTTTTGAAGAACATCAGCGATTAGGAAAGGTAAATCTTTTGTTAATACCACGTAGTGGAAATCAAATTTGAATAGCATTTAAAATGTAGAAAGACTGATGATGGCTGCCTGCGTTTATGTCAGTGTGTGCTGTAATTGAGAGTGGTGCTCGTGCAATCTGTAGCTGGCTAGGATATAGAGCGTATATTTAGTAGAAATACGGCACTTCCCAGTATGTTTTCAAACAGACGGGCTACCTTTTCTCCCCCTATTTTAACTTGAACTCTTTGAGTACCTATGTCTATATGCGTACCTGCAGCATCAGTGAATTAAAACTGCTTCTCAGCTATGTCGCAGAATCATGGGGATACTGTCATCTGAAAATATCTGCAATCAAAAGGCAGGTATCCTGGGAGAAGACTCAAACTGCTTGTGCAGGCATCATTTATGGAACGAGAAAAAGAGAGGACTGGAAATCCTTGGTTTTCAGAAAATCTCTATATTGCTTACAACTATTTCACTTTTAGGGTTTGATCCTGGAAACATCCCTAGTGTTGAGTAAATTCTCTTTTGAGCGAAGCTGTTTGCAGGCTCTTAATCATTAAAAATGGGAATGTTTTATGTGCATTTGTACCAATTGCTGGACCTGAAATTTGGATAGAGTAGAAAGCAAATTAACACTAGAATATGATTGTTCCTAATTTAGTGCATCATTGAGTCTCACGTTTCCTGCTCTGTGGGTTTCTGCTATGTAAATATTGCGGTGGTGATGCACAATCTGTCTCTACTTTGTGCCAGTAATACTTAAATTAGGGGTCGCCTGAAGGAAGATTTTATGCTAGTTGCGGCATTGTCAGTTAATTATCTTAAAGGTTATTTGCTATAATCCAGTTTGCCTCTTTTTGAAAGAAAAAAAAAAGTTGCAGCTAAATATGTTTATCTTAGTTACAGCCAAACCCAGGATAGTTAAAAAGCAAAGTCCCGATGCGAGAATGGCTAGTGCAGATAAACAGAAACGGTTTACATGCCTTTGTGAAGAATTTAAGTGGGAAAAAAGAACATCTTCAGTAATGAAGTTCGGTATATAAGACTGTGCATAGATTCTCACTTTCTCCAGCAATATCTAAAGGTCTTCTGTACATTTCTTTGCTTTCGGACGGGTAGTAATACACTAGAATTTGTGCCTTCCCAGTTTTCCTACGTTTCTAATACCACAGATGTTGTATATTAGAAATTCTAAAAAAAAGGTCGAAGCAGAAATTATGCTTTCGTCTCAGGATAAAAGTGTTTAAAAGTGTTTGGTTTGCCCTCCTCTATACGAGGCAATCATATCCTGTCTATGGTACTGAGGTGTTTCTAATATGTCCATTAGGATGATATTTGAGTGCCGTCTTGAGCAGTTATTTCAGGTCACTGGTATTGTGTTATATTTCTGCGTCTCTTTGTTCCATTTTCCCTCGATTTTTAAGAGTAGTTGTCTTTGTGAAAATGATTTAGAAACAGAAAATGTGTGACTGGTTTTGTACATTACTCTGATTTACAAAACTTGGATCTCTTACAAAAGGCATCATTATAAACATGATGCTAGTGCAAATGTGTATGTAGGTAGATGCAGAATGAAAAAAGTCAGATGACAGACTCTGCCAAATATTGTTTATGTTTGTGACTTGCGCAATATCAGTTCATCTGAATTTAATGTCAGAAACTCATTTAAGAAGTGCTCCTATTGTTTGAACTACTGATGAGGAGAAGGGTCTAAATTTAACAATAGTATTAGTATCACACAGTACTGAAGGCACACAAGTTTAATATTCAAGAATTCGGTATTAGGCAGGCATTATTCTTTGGATTTGTTTTGCAGCTCTTACCGACATAGTGCTGGATTCTTCATGACATCAGCCCTCTATGATTTTTTTTTCTTGCAATAAGTGCTTTTTAATTAGGTTGTAAACTTCTTATATTATTCACAAATACAGATTTGCTGCAGGTTTGTGGCTTCGGATATTTTTTTAACCTCCCAGGTTGCATGCTTTATATATTTCTGCATATAGCAGTCTACCAAAAAGAACAGGGATTAGCAGTTTTATCTGTGAGCTTCTGGATCTTGTGTTATTTCAGTATTGCTGGCCTTCATCACAAAATCAGAAAAGCAGTTTTTTGTGTTGTGTTTCCTGCAAACTTCTTAACTGAGCTTGCATTTGGTATTATAAATGTGTCAGTAAGAAGAGCTTGGGCGCTCTGATTACTTAACTTTTTCCAAAGCAAACGAATCTCACTGAGGGAGCCTCTTGCTCTGTGTCCTAGAGACATGCTAAAATGTGTAGTAACTCTTCCCTTACCACCTCTTGACAAATACTGTACGCACTGGTTTTAGAAATCCTCACGTCCTAAAGAAGCATCTCTTCTGCCTTCCTTTTCCTTTTATTATAGTAAAATGTTCATCTCAGTAAGACCAAAATTATAGCTGTGGTTAGTATGGCTGAGACTTGCATGTTTTTGCTAAGATATTAATCAAAGCTGAAAGCCTGGAAAAATACATTTGAGGGATTTGTGCGGCTGTTTCTGCAGTAGGTAAGTTACTGATCTTCAGTCTTTAGAATCAGTTTGTTGTTAATTGGCTTCGGAGTTTGATGCTCTTCATCAACAATATTTTATACTGAAAGACATTAATGAGCTTTTATAATTTATTACCGTTTAAGATGTACAACTATCATAATAATCTTTCTTTGAGAGAAGGCTGAACCTGGCTACTTCATCTTGGAAACTAAAATGCTGTGACATAGTAGTCCCCGAATCTAAGAAGTGAGTTTACTAAAAATTAGTATCTCAGATGGGCACTACGGGATATTAGATCCTACAGTATCCAAACAGAGGAAAATTAGAGATTTTGTTAGCCTAAGTCATTTGGGCTTACATTATGGAGATAGTCCTGTTTGGGGGTGTGTTTTGGGGATGGATTGTAGGTTGTTTTGTTTTACATTTGAAACCTGACTGAAAAATAGCCTGTCCAGAAAATGAATGGTAGTATTGCATTTTGGACAATTAAGAAACAAAATGTTAAAAATAAACAGTACATTATTTACTTTATACAATCACCTATGAAAGCTACATGCTGTGTTCTGTCCAAAACTTTGAGATCTAAAAATGGAAAGTGTTAAAAAGTATTGTTTTTATATAGTTTCAATATTTTTCCAGTAGAACTGCATTACTGCATGATGTGATTCTCAAAATTAAAATCAGCCTAAAGAAAGCAGGGGTAGCTGTCAGGAAGATCTAAACATAACATAAATGCCATAGTGTGTTCAAACATGAAAAAGAAGGGTAATAACCATTATTTTGGTAGTCTAAACCAGATTCTGCTCTAAATCTCTGAAGTACTCGTACTGTGTTAAATAGAGAGGTGATCTTATAAAGCCAGATTATCTCAGACAAGGGGGAGAGTTAAAGGGGTAGGGTTAGTGGGAAAAGCTACTAGCTCGTTGCAAGAAAAAAATCTCTCTTCTATTAATGAAGGCACAGTAGTCTTTATTCTCTACTATGTAAATTAATGTTATATGAAACTTACTGCTCTGTTTCCGTTATCAATACATTGAATACATGACTAGAACACCTTCTATATGGTGTTAGTGTTTATATATGACAAGAAACTAAAATGTTGAGCCATCTGACTTGTAAATACATCACGCACAATATCGCTATTTTAACAGGATCTTCATGAATTGTCTGTCTTTAAAATAATATTCAGGGAGAAGGAAAGGCAGAAGGGTTTATGTCTTGTACCAATTTATAAATGCTTTACAAGAACCTGTACATTAAATCAGGGGAGAGGGGGCTAAATGCTGTCTCCAAAATCACTTGTCAGGTAAGGAATATTTAGAGTTAAGGTAATTCATTCACAAATCCAAGCTCTAATATCAAGCTTGAGTATTCCAAAGGGGCAAAATAGAAGACATATCTGTAAATGCTATATATGCCTGTGCAGAGTTCTTGGCAGGCCTTTGGCATATGTTTCTTGTACTATATTCTGTGCGTGTATCACGTTCTCAGAAGCCTAGGAATAATATATATGAAGTCAAGTGATTTGCCAAACTATACAGTTTCTTTCATGGACTTTCTAGGACTATAAAAATCTCAGGAATGCATTTATTTACACAGCATCTACCCAACAAAGGAATGGAAATTTCCAGCAGCGGCTCTGTTATAATAGTCTTTGTTTAGAAAAAGCAAACCCAAGCTACTGTATCTTGGAAACGATGGCGACTTGTGTTTGGGCCTGCTCCAGCTCCCACTGAGGCCAACCGAAGACAGCCGCGACCGCCCGGGAAGGGGCTCCGGCCCTCCGCGTGCCGGTCCCGCTGCGGGGAGCCCTAAGCAGGGCTTCCCGCTCACTAGCCGGGCTCACATGTGTCCTGGGAACACAGCTGCCAGCTACGCGGCTGTCCCCGGCCGGGATGCCACCGCGCCGCAAACAGCTCCCACCAAAATCTGAGCGCCGTGCTGAAGGCAGGCTGCCCTGGCCACCCCAGAGCATCTGGGTGAGGTCAACCATTCCCGATCATGGGGAGAGCCCCTCTCGTTGAGTGTTATATCGGGTGGTTTAAGCCAGGCAAAGGGTACGGGAGCAGCATAGCTGCAGCCCAGCCGATGGCACGGACGTGCCAGATTCCCCATCTCTTGGTGCAGGAGAAATCACAGGCAGCACTGGAGGAGCTGCCAGTCGCGTTGGACGCCAGCCTGGGGAGATGCCAGCAGCACGGGGATACCTGCGTTGGGAAAGCTCCCACTGGGCTGCAGTGTTGCCAGGCAGGACATTGGCTGTCATTTATGGAAATAAGGTGCTGTATATTCCTCGCACACGCAAAGCAGCAAATTCAGGGATCTGCGTTAAATTGCCACGTTTTGCAGTCTTCAGCCGTAACAAGTACAGGCTCAGGTGTGTCTGTCAACATAAATGGAGAGTGCCATGGGGATTTACGCAGGCCACTGTTATTTTTAAATGATTACTTAGAACTTAATAATAACTTATTTAAATAATAACCTATTTATGTTT